TATCTAAGGAAAGAATATAAATAAGGAATCTAGAATAATGCAACCACTAATTACAATCTAATTACGATCTTTAACAATTAACATTGCCGCATTAATTTCCTCAATTTAAAATTGTTAAAGCAATCCCGTCTCGAAAAATATTGATGAAATCAATAGAACAACACAACTATTGTTTAACGGCACTTGTGTCGTTCTGTCTGGAAACACCATTACAGAGAGCGACGACCTGTCCGAGCCACGATGAACTCATTTAAGCTGTAGGATGGACATGCCTCTTACAACGTAGGGGAGATATGCTCAACGCTTATACTTTCAAACAAAATCAATGTAGACTTGTGTGATTTCACCGTTCAATACCATATATTCTATATCAATTCCACCGTTAGTTGTCACCTAATCAACATTTACCGTTCAATACCATATATTCTACATCAATTCCAGCCGTAGGTATGATTATCGTTATGTTTACAAGTATAACAATAATAAGAATGACTCTTGATGAAATATTGCGTTATGAAAAGAAAAAACAAATTGTCTAAACAATGTAGAAAATGACACTTGTGTCGTTACTGATAATAGAACGTCTACTAGAATGGCACAAGTGTCGTTATGCTGTGTGAAAAAAATTTCAATGAGAACGGTACTAGTGCCGTTACTGTCTAGAAAACGACACTTGTGTTTTGTTTGCCTGGAAACACCTGTACTGAGCACCACGACCTCTCCGAGACACGATATTCGATTAGATGAACTCATTTAAGTTATAGGATGGACACACCTCTTACAACGTAAGGGAGATATGCTTAATACTTGATCAACATGAAAAAGAAAACGACACAACTGCCGTTATTGTTCTTAAAACTGCACAAGCGACGTTTTACTGTAACAAAAAAAATCATAACTGCCGTTCTGACTTCATCGAGTCTAAGACAATAACACAATCACTCATTCCAAACATTATAAGTAGTTTGCTTTTCAAAACGAAAAAAGTAGTACATCGTAACATAACACCACCATCCCTTTTCAATATTACAAAAGTTGTACATCACAACACCACAAAAGCA